CCTCAGGGTAGCTGTTCAGGGGAATCGAACCCCCGACCTTCCGATCGTGGGGCCACCACTCTGCCTACTGAGCTATCCCTGCCCCACATGGGGCACGGAAAGCGTGTATATTTTCTAACACATTTGACCTTATATTTTGAATCTACCTGGGGTATTTCTTTTTGTTAAACTTGATTAGTGTTGCATATATAACCTGCAATGTACTGTGAGAGAAAAGGGCCAGTTTTTACAATAACATTATTACAATAATGGTTTTTGCTCCCTTTTTATAAATGCAAGCTTCCACTGCTGGTACATGAACGTGTTCAGCTTTACTGTTTTTACAGCAGCACGCCAAAACACACACACCATCACACACTTTCTGATGCCAGTCTCCAGCTCCACCACATCCCAGAGGTGCTCCACCTTCTGATCTGGTGACTGTGGAAGCCACTTGAGTTCGGTGAACTGATTGTTCTGTCCCAGAACCTGTTTGGCATGATTTTGTTTGTGTTTAGCTTCTGAGATCAGACAAGAGCAGGCATGCTCAGGGTGGCTGAAGCAAGGCTGAAATGAAAGGAGGCAAATATAAGTTCACACTGAAACAATGATGTAAAACACATTAAGAGTAGTGAAGAGTCACAGGAAGTCCTCCAGGAACCTGAACATGGTGATGCACAACGGTTCAATTCAGTTTCACTGAGGTAAAATAACAACAACAGTCACCTCAAGTTGCTTTATATTGTATTTAACAATGGAGAGGAAACCCCAAAAATCAAACAAACCCCCTATGAGCAAGCACTTTGGCGACAGCAGGAAGGAAAAACTCCCTTTAAACAGGAAGAAACCTCAGGGAGGGGCGGGGGGACACAGCACCTTCTTCCTGTAGTTAGTTTTGTTGCTCCTGTCACAGAAACATCCAGCCAATAATAATAAACATTGAACATTATTTCTACTGACGCATTTTGCTTTGCGTCACTTGGACTTTGCTGTGTAATCACAAACTCGTGATTCAGACCAGAGTGAAAGAACTACAGGTTTGAAAATGCTGGAAAATTATGACAAATTTAAAAATATTCATTTTAAAAGTTCAGCTCCAGCATTGTTTTAAGGAAGAGCCCAGAGCAGAGTTTGTTATGCAGGAATGTGATCGTGGTTAACAGCAGCAGTAGTAACACGAGGTGAGCTGAATCTGCACCTTATCTTGTTTGAGTGCTGTGTCTTATCTGCCACTTTTTCCCTGTTCCACCTCCTCTCCTTGGAAAGACCCTCTGTTTTGTTTATGTCCGTTCTCTCCGTCATCCTGTAAAAGCTTTTCCTTTTTTCCTTTTTTAACTTTAGGTTGCTTTGGTCACAGTGTAAACAGGCCTGACAGACGTGTTGACGGTCATAAAGGAAGCGCGCTGTCCTGAGGGGCTGTGATTACATTAACCTCGTGTCTATTGAGTTAATCAGACACCGTGCTCGCTCAGAGCTGTGCTTCAAAACCGTAAAGTGTGTAACTGCTGCCAGAGCGTGTAGCTGGTTCTTAAAGCAACTTGCTGTGTGCTGAGCAAACTCTGATGAATATATGAGCAGATTTTGGGATCAAAGATTAGAGCGCTGATCATGTTCAGATATTTAGAGCGTGCTGCTGTAGTTTTTGTGTTCATTGGCAATAGTCTGTGCTGTTGTGGTGTTTTTGTTTATCTGCAGCTGTTCCAGAGACATCCGCAGTTGTTTTCCAACCTTTCAATGGCTGTTATTGATCCTCGGTTACAGAAAGCAGCTCATTAATCCATCTGAACAAGCATCCAGCTTTGATGTGCCTTTGTGCCAGACTCTTCTCTTAGGAAGATGCTGAACTTATAGATTGTTATAATGCAAACTGTATTGTCCTTTGAGTGTTTTTGGGGCGGGCTTAGTGAGCAGGTCTGACTGTGAAACCACATGCTTATTGGTGAATGACTTGTTTGACAAGTTTTTAGAAAACAAGCATGTTTTATAACATGGATTCTTCTTTCCAAAACCAAAACTTTTCAAAATGACATTTTATTTGGTGTGACCCAAGATGACGGTCTGAGCAAATAAATTAAATAAAAGTTGTTTTCTCATTGGCTTCTGTAGGACAAAGATATCGCCATCATGTGGCCTTGAGATAGACTGCAGCTTGCTCGACCGTCCCTCCAATAGATCAGACTGTTTTCTAGCCACCTCTATATTTGTGTTGACCCGTTCATTTATTTTTAAAAAGCCAGTTTAATTACTTTTATATGCTGCTAGCTTAAGCTATACCAATATACCATAAATTATGAGTAGATTAATATTCTATAAGAGAGAGCTGAGCGTAAAAGCGAAGCTCTCAATTTACCGGTCGATCTACGTCTCTACCCTCA